TGCCAAGGAAACCGCTTCGCTAAACGCGCTGAGGTGGTACAATAAAAACAATTCGAGTAAAGGCTTGGTAATGGTGTGACGTCACGCCACAAAATACGTTAGCAGGTTGAACTTGTGTAATGTTATTCTCTCTACGGTGGTACGTGGAATTTATTTTTGCAGAGCCGGACACTATCCTGGTGTTCACAATCTTCTATAAATTATTTGGAGGAAGAACCCGCCTTGCAATGCCGAAGACAACATGCGCGCCGGACTCATCGTCATTGAAGCCTGGTTCAGGGGCTACTGAGGGAGGTCCAGACTAGGGGGTGTCTGGATAGCTGAACTATCATGATCGGCTGGACTCCAAGACTATGAAGATACAAGATTGAAGACTTCGTCCCGTGTCCGGATGGGACTTTCCTTGGCGTGGAAGGCAAGCTTGGCGATATGGATATGTAGATCTCCTACCATTGTAACCGACTCTGTGTAACCCTAGCCCTCTCCGGTGTCTATATAAACCGGATGGCTTTAGTCTGTAGGACGAACAACAATCATACCATAGGCTAGCTTCTAGGGTTTAGCCTTCTTGATCTCGTGGTAGATCCACTCTTGTAACACACATCGTCAATATTAATCAAGCAGGACGTAGGGTTTTACCTCCATCAAGAGGGCCCGAACCTGGGTAAAACATCGTGTCTCTTGTCTCCTGTTACCATCCGCCTAGACGCACAGTTCGGGACCCCCTACCCGAGATCCGCCGGTTTTGACACCGACAGCAGGAGTCGATCGATTGGTGGAGTAATAGTAGTGGATGCAAAATCATTTCGGTCTACTTGTCACGGACCTAATGCCTATATACATGATCATTGCCATGAATAACATCATAACTATGCGTTTTTTTATCAATTCTTCAACACTAATTTGTCTACCCACCATATGCTATTATTATGACAGAGATGCCTCTAATGAAAATGATGGGCCATAGATCTATTTTAATAATAGTACAAAAACAAATACCTTGCTGCAATTTCCTTTCTTTTATTTTACTTTGCAATTTATACACCTACAACTATCAGATTTAATCCTTGCAATTAACGAGTACAAGCGGATTGACAACCCTCTTGCCCGCGTTGGGTGCAAGTGTTTGCTTTTGTGTGTGCAGGTACTGTTTACTAGGCATTTGCCCAAGTCTCCTATTTTTTCAATAACCTTGGTTCTCTACTGAGCGAAATACTATCCGCTACTATATTGCTTCACCCTTCCTCTTTGGAGAAAATCCCAACGCAGCTCACAAGTAGTAGCCCCCCTTGGCTCCTCTTGTTCTCCCCAGATGCTTCTTGGAACCTTCGTGCTCCAAATTTTTTTACTAAATTGGCACGGTATTTTGACCTCCATAGATAGAGATTTTCCATAAAACAAAAAAACATGCAGAAAAAAGGAAGTGACACTAGACACAAGATTAATAGGTTTGTCCAAAAAAATAATATAAAATACTATAAAAAGTATTCAAAATGATAATATCATAGTATGAAACAATCAAAAACTATAAATACGTTTGAGACGTGTACCAAAGCTAATGCAGAGTAGATGTGCTTGGGCCAGAGACCAATTGCTTATTTGGGACATGTTATTAGTCAAGGAGTGAGTACAGATCCAAGTAAGTTTACATCTATAGCTGAATGGCGTGTGCCTACTTTAATGCAAAAGAAATTAGAGGTTTTCAAGGATTTACGTGCTATTATAGGAAATTTATTGAGCACTACGATTTAATTATTAAACCTCTCAGTAAATTACTTAGAAATAATTCAATTCTTATGGACCCTCTCACACTAAAGTACTTTTCCAGACATTAAAGCGAGCTCTTATGTCAACTCCAGTTTTGATTCTACCTTATTTCAGTAAACCCTTCGTCATTGAGGCTAATGCCCGTGACATAGTATTGGAGTTGTTTAATGCAATATGGGTACCCACTTATGGGCGTAAAGCTTTAGTCCATAAAATCAATCTCTCTTGGTGTATAAAAAGAATATTTGGTCATTCTACTCGCAGTTGAACACTAGAGATCATATCTTCATGTTCAAGAGTTTACAATTATAACTGATCCAAAGATTTTAGCTTGCATAGGAACTCAAAGATTGCATACAACATGGCAACACAAGGCTTTGGCAAAATGGCGGGGCTACAATATAAGACTATCTACAACACAATAATGTTTTCATGCATTATTCTGTTGGATTGGCGTGAGAAAATTTATCAGAGACATGGGTCAAGTCCTTTATCATTTTTCATCAAGCAAAACCTAAAAAGAGTAGCATATCATGGGTTACTCTGTCCCTTACCCATTTCAGGACAAGATCGGGAGATGGTTACAAAGCATTTTATTAGATGGATTACTAGTTTCAAGCAAGTACAACCGTATTTTAGCGGTGATTAACAAATTTACTAAATATGTCCATTTTATTTCTCTCCAACATCCTTTTAATGCTCAGAAAGAAGAAGACATGCTCGTTGACAATGTTTACAAGCTACACAGCATGCCCAAATCCATTGCATCAGATAGAGATCCTATTTTCAGTAGTACATTCTAGAAACTTGTGGTGAAAGCTACTAGCAGTGAGATGAAAATGAGCACTGCCAATCACCTTGAAACTGATGGACAAAGAGAAAGAGTTAATCAACTGGTCGAATGCCCTTTGAGATGCTTTATCAGTGCTCATGCTCACAAATGGTGTAAATGGCTGTCATTATGTGAGTTCCGGTATAGTACAAATTGGCATTCTTCCTTAGGCAAAACACCATCCGAAAACTTATATGGCCATGCTCTCAAATATTTTGGTATTTTTGCCACTGATGTTGCTTACATTGACATTACTCACTGGTTGGCAGTTGGCATAAATAGCTTTTGTTATTGATTTAATTAGACAATGTTGCTCACATCTCAAAGGAGAATGGAATCTCAGGCTGATAAAGAAGAGAACTGAAAGTCATTTTCAAGTGGGTGATCAAGTGTTCTTGAAGTTGCAACCATTTGTGCAATCCTCTGTGGTTAGGACAGCTAATCACAAATTCTCTTTTAAGTACTGTGGGGCCTATGTCATCACTGAAAAGATTGAAGAGCTAGCTTATTGTCTGAATCTTCCACCTTCAAGCAGAATTCTCCCAATTATCCATGTATCTCAACTAAAGCAATGTGTACCTTCCCACCATGAGGTACAATCAGCTCTTCCTCCTCCTAATGCTCTTCTTCAGGTTCATGTCAAAATTCTGCAGCATCGTGTTCGTCAGTGATGACATCGTACCATCCTGCAAGTGCTCGTTCAATGGAGTGGCACGAATGCTTCTGTTGCTACCTGGGAAGATTTGGACTATCTTCGTCCACAGCTCCCTCGATTAGTGGCTTGGGGACAAGCCGGTTCTGAAGGAGGAGGGATTGCCAAGGGTGCTAGTGTTAGCCGGAATCCAAATCCAAGCAATGGGTTGGTGCCTCGACACCAGAAAAGAGGTGCGACTTCCAACCGGCTTGCAGGTCGTGAATTGGTCCGTGACCTGGTAACATTTTCCATGTATATATAGTTACTAGCCGTTTGAATGACGTAAAAAAGCCGTAGCATTTGAAACTTGGCGAGGAAGAAATGGCCATTTGGCTAGCTTGTAATTTTGAATTGTATAGAGGTGAGGGAGGTTGGGTGGAATTCCTGTGCAACGAACCTTAGAGCAACTCTAGTAGACCCTGTAAAACCGCGACCCACATAAGGCGTTTACAGTTCGACGAAGAACTGTTTTGCGGGTCGAAATCGTGCACGGTAGAGTAGAACCCGTATATGAAACTGTATAATTTGAAAAAAAAACTTTCGCAGGAGAAATTGCAACCACACTAGTTCATCGCATACTACATGACCATTCATAGTTCATGATCACATACTACATTATCATACATACTACATTCTACTACTACTACTAGAGGGGTGAGGATCTCGCAGAGCGAGGCCGAGGTTGATATACCATGGACGAGCTCGCGGCCGTTGGAGCTGACGAGATCGATGAACTTCTCCCTCTGCTCCTCGCGGGTGCGCTGCCAGTCGGCGTCCTCGTCCTTCGCGGCAAGGTTGGCCGCGACCGCCTGCTTGAGGATGAGGTCTTCGAGCTCCTCACCGTGGCGCCGGCGCTCCGCCTCCTCGCCCAAGCCCCGTTCGGAAATGGCAACCACGACCACGTCGAAATCGGCCACGAAAATCTTCGGGCCCGACGACCCCTCGGCGCTCGATCTCCTCCGGCTCCTACTTGACGGCGACGACCTCGATCTCCTCCGGCTCCTCCGACCACTCCCTCTTCACGGGGAGAAGCCTCGCGCCGGAAGAGGAAGAGCTTGTGGCGTGGGAAGATCTGCGGCGAAGGACAAGCCCGCAGCCGAGGAGGGCGTACGCCCGTGCCGACGGTCGTACTCCTCCGTCTCGCGAACGAGGAAGCTCAGCGGGAGCTCGAGGCCCTTGTTCGTCCACTTCCTCGCCACGCGCTTCCTCGCGCCGTCCGAGCGATCACGCCGCTCGCGCTCGGGGTAGCCGCCCCCACCGGAGCTGCCACCGAAGCTGCGGCCGGAGTTCCACATGGCGGCTGGAGGCGGAAGGGGCCCACCGGTGGCGAGAAATGTGAGGAGCGGAGTGGGGAATTGCGGCGAGATGTGGCGGCAGGGGGATAGGATTTCGACCCGTATCTACCCCGCGAGCCCGTAGATATACTGCTTCGAGGGGGTTTGCGGGCTGAGCGAGTATACCGAACAGAGCCCGTATACTCGCCGGAATATTTTAGGGGGGTGGGACATTGCCGTTCTTCCTTTTTTTTCATCCGACAGTGAGCTTGAAAAAACTTCAAAGCTTTGTCTGGTGCCAGACCAGTAACAGTGTAGCACGAGGCACCCATGCACGGCTTAAGTTTCACCATCTGCCGACTGCCGTGTTAAAAAAACAGTTTCACCATCTGCTTAGCCACGCACTGACGCACGCATCTCGCCCTCAGCTCTCATGGCACCCCAGCAGCAGCTCCTCCTGCTGCTCCTCCTCCTGGCCACGCCGTTGCCGCGGCCGGCCGCCGCCGACGACGGGGCCGCTGGGCAACCGCCACTGGTGCATCCGTTCTTCTACTACTCTCCTCCGCCGCCGTCGGCGCTTCCTCTCACCGTCCCGCCGCCGACGCCGACGCCGACACCGTGCAGCTGCGGGCCGATGCAGCCGCCCACCACTGCTTGCAACTGCGGGAGGATGCCGCCGCCTGGGATCGACCGCCGCAGCCCGCCGGCCGGGCGCCACGGGCTCCATTCCGGGTCCCACGCGCAGACCGGAGTGCAGCTCCATCCCCGGATGCTCTGCGCTGTCGCCGCCGCACTTCTCCTATGGTGGTGCTAGTCAGTCGCTGCTGTGCCACTCAGATCTGTATGTGCGTACTACTGTGCTATGCCATTACTACTTGCATGCTTATTTAGGACAGGGGAATTCCATCAGATTTCCGCGAGGATTATATTGTAAGTTCTTGCAGTGCACTCAGAAATTCCGATGGGTTCGATTAATCTCTCTGCCATATGTATGGATTCGGTTGTTGCAATCCGCATTTGATGGAAGTTGATGACTGAAGAGGGTGTTGATGGCATGTATGCTCTGTGTCAACTTGTTTGCCTACTTTTCCTTTGTATGAAGAACACCATTAGACCACCCGGCCAGGCAGGCGTCGTCGCGGCGGAGTCTTGTTCTGGTTGTAACTTTACTTCTGTATTTCAGTTTCGATGTGTTCTTGCTCTGCCTGTAAAATGCACTGTTAAGAGTATCAGTAAAGATTGAATTCATGTTAAGGCTTCGCCGAAGGTGGTGGAATTAAGCCGAAGCCGAGGTGTGACTTTTCTTGCTAGACGGTGACACTGTGTGCCCTGCCGAGAGTAATGAATGAAATATCTTATGTGCCATATGCAAGCCAGGCACTGCTTGAACGTGCGGCTCCCATCGGTCGATCTCGTATCGATAAGGTGTCTACAAGGAAGCGGCTAGAAGCTGCTCCTCTCCTCCCCCTCCTCCTCCCTTCCCCACCTCACCGACTACCAGCCATTCATCCATGGCTCAGCTCCTCCCTCTCTCCTCCGCTGCTCCCAGCTTCCGTCTCGCCGCGACGCCAGGTAGCCATGCTCAGTCGCCTCTCTCCTTCTCTGCTCTCGCTTGCCAGTGCAGATTCCTGGCACAAAAATACTTTTATCCGCGTGCAGGAAATTGAAGTAGCGTCGTAAAACGCCGTGCCTTCTTGAGCTAGCTCCCTCTCCCTGACTACCTTTGCTTCCTCTCCGTGCAGGCAATGGTGTCCCCCGGTTGTCCGTGACGTCAGCCCGCTCTGCTGCTCGTGGTAGTAATTTAAGCTAGATCTTCCATTATTCTCTTCGGCAATTCTCTGTTCCCTTCAGTTTATTCTTGCACGCCGTCTTAAACTGTGTAGCAATTTCACTAGTCCATGTCGCCCAGAGCTGGCGTTTTATCAAATTTCCGCTCACTACTTACCTCTGTACTTGGTAGTGAGCAGGAGGAGCATGAGGCTCAAGTCCCTGCGCGTCAGGTGCGAGCAGGGGTCCAAGGGCGGCCCCGGGCTGGACGTGTGGCTCAGCCGCGGCGCCATGCTCGCCTTCTTCGGGGCGGTCGGCGTGGAGCTCACTACCGGCAAAGGGGTGCTTCAGGTTCAGCAGCTCGCGTGCCAACTCTCTTTCCCTGTTTGATGGTAAAAAAATGGAAGCGTGAGTGCGTGACTGGCGTTGCTTTGCTTCTCTGCAGAACGTAGGGCTGATGGCGCCGCTGCCGGCGTTGGCGCTGGGGCTCACCGGAGTGGTCGGGGTCGTCACCGCATTTATCATCTTCCAGTCTGGATCGTCGGATTGATCAATCGCTCCATGTTAATTTGCGCTGCTGTGAGAAAGGAAAAAAAAATATCTCGAGTTGTCTTTCTTGCTTCCCAAAGGCGTCTATGAATTACTCTCGTTCAGTGGCGGGCATGGCATATTTTGTACTATTAGCATGTAGTAGCGTATTAAGTATTACTATAACTTAATAATGACCAATCTAAATTGTTGATTCCTTATGCTAGCCACTCTTCTATACAGTTTGGAACTGATAAACCTGATAGGCCGGGACGTGTTTCACAGGAGTTAATTGCATGGAACTACCACACTTCGGCGAGTTAATTGCATGGAACTACCACACTTCGGCACGTCGTAACGAATTGGTACCACTAGTCACATTTTTTACAAGTCAGTACCAACTCCCAGCCTAAGTGTTGCAATGTGGTCTTACAGTCGTATAAGCACGTATTGACAGTGTTTCTGACCGAGCGGCCCCGCCTGTCAGGTGACACATTGGCCAACCCGCGCGTGCCACTCCGTTGACTAGGACGAAGCTGGCTCAGTCGTTCTTGGCTTGGTCGAACCGGTTCCAACAGGACGAACCCTAGCTCTCGTTTCCCTCTCCCTCTGCCCTCGTAGCGCGGCTCTCTGGCTATGGCGGCGACGACTCCCGGCAGTGGTGACGGTGGTTGTACCAGCGATGGTGGTGTGGGCGGCTACGAAGACCTTCCGGGCATCGGGAGCGAAGAGCACGTAGGTGTCGACGGCGGCGGCTCCAATTCGTATTACTTGAGCGACGATGAGGGTTTGGATTTGGATGAGGCGCCACTGTCCATGGAGCAACGGGTGACGATGGCAGAGATTTGGGTGGCCAACCCTACCACTAGTCATCCCTAGATGAGTGGAGTGTTGTATGTCCCTCTCCTCTCTTCTTTCAGCCTAGTTCAAATTGGGGGCTAGGGTTAGTTATACTGAATTTTTCAATTTTGCTGTCAATTGTAGTTTGGATGATGCTATTTGGATGTCGAGGGAACCCTAATCACCAAAGTAGTTGGGTTTGGGGTGTCTCGGCATCAAGGGAACCGTAACCACCAAAGCACTTGGGTTTAGGGGGTCTCGGCGTCGAGGAACCCTAATTACCAAACTACTTGGTTCTAGGGGGGCTCGGCATCGAGGATACCCTAATCACCAAAGTACTTGGGTTTGGGAGGTCTCGGCATCGAGGGAATCCTAATGACCAAACTATCTAGGTCTAGGGGGGCTCGACGTCGAGGTTACCCTAATCACCACTATCTACCATATATATACATTCATGCACCATCTATCCTCCATTTATCATAGCAACATATATCATGATATATATAACTTCAACTATATCTACCAGCCATCTATCAAAGCAACATAGATCAAGATATATAACTTGAACCATCTAATATAGCATACTTTAATAGATTCTTACAAACCATAGATTCTTAAAGCTGCATAATTAATAGATTCTTACATTACAACATAGCTACAGATAATAGCATAGTGGAGTTCAACATAGTTCATACCTAGTAGATCCGTACATTACACTTCATTACACCACCATTCTTCACAAAAGGTTAGCAAAGCATACTCTTCTTCATCTACTCAGTTCATCTTCATCTTCATCTAGCTCATTCCTCCAAGATGTCATGGATCAACTTCAACTTCTGTTTGTTCTTCTCCACTGCCTTCAACTGATCAGCAATCTGGAGCTGGAGCTCATCCTTGCGTTTAATGAGATTCTCATGTCCCTTCTTGAGATCACACATGTGAAGGTTCAACTGTAGATTCTCTTCAATGAGTTTTTTCTCAGACTTGGTGAGTTCATCAACCTGAACCTTCAAATTCCTGTTGTCTTCACTTAGCTTTTCATTCACTTTCAAATGATTCATCTTCAGGTTCATAATGAATTTGCCTTGAGCTTCTAACAGGTTCATAAGCAACGCATACTTCTCTTGCAACTTCAAGTTCTCTGCCTCTTCTTCTACATCTCACTCTTCATGCCAGCCACAGTTGCACTGGTAACCTCAGCTCTCTTCTCCTCAGCACCCTGCATCTTAGCCTGCACATAGCTTAAATCCAGCACCTTGTCCTCTTGGGCATTGAGAAGTTGATGAACATCTTCAACTAGTCTGTCATAGTTGGCATCCAGATTATTTTTCCCTTCTGTAAGGTGGTGAATAGTAAGTGAACTCTCCAAGTTATCCTTCCTCCTACCACTCCTGCTATCTTCATACATTTCCCAAAGCTTTAACAATGCATTTTGCATTGTGGGAGGCTACTCTGGGTCAACCCACCCAAGAAAACCACAATTTTGACCTTCCTGCAATATAGCAAACACTTATATTGTTACTCTCTACAGAATTCCAATTTACAAAGGACAAATTTTAAACATCAAGAAATAGCATAGCAACTAGAACCTAGCCATGTGGCCAACTAAACAATGATAATTCTACAACAACCTAAGCTCCAAGACAAATGCTACTGCAATAAACAATAAAGACCAGCAGCTATGAAGCACTCAACTTTCAACATCCACTCTAGTGAATAGCCTACTTGCCTCAATTAAGCAATGAGTATCCCCACTGCTAACTAAGCTCCTGGCCAAATATACTAACATCTAGTGGCCAATTTAACTACACAAAAAATGCAAGAGCACATGCCTACACAACTTGTTCCAGTGAGTATCAATACTACTAAATGACTAAACAATGAGCATCTCCACAGCTAACTAAGCTCCTGGCCAAATATAATAGTAACATCTAGTGGCCTATTTAACTACATAGAAAAAGCATGAGCACATGCCTACACAAATTTTTTCAAGTGAGCATCAATACTACTAAATGACTAAACAATTACCATCATCAGTACTACTAAATGACTAAAAGAGGCTACACTAAATGATTAAACAGAGGCTACACTAAGTGGCTAATCAAATGTCTACAGAAGTTACTACCAATTTTAATACAAAGAACAAAATATGTGCATGATCCTTACAAGCTGAGCACAAACTAGAAACCTCCCTTCCGTCTCAAATCCTTCAAAGGCTACACGATGCTCAGTTGACAGCCGATGCTCCACGCAAAGACCCTAGGGTGCCATCTCGATGCCCATGTAGTCTTGGTCTTCAATACTAGCAGGAATATAGATGAGCAAAATAAACCAAAAAACGCCAAATCAAAAAACCAATCCCCAAATCAGAAACCTTAACCCTAACTCTACCACTGACCTGGTACAACATGCCGTCAAAGGAGGAGTTGATGTACTGCAGGCTAGAGCAGTCGTGGTTACTCTCATCCTCGACCACCATGGCGCGGTGGTGGCGGCGGCGGACTGCATGGAGAACATCGGCGAACCGAGGTAGAGAGTGCGTCGGTTGGTTTGGTTCGAGCCGACCCATCCAGTTACAACGACCGAGTCACCTTCGTCCTACTTAGCAGAGCGGCGTACGCGGGTTGACCAGTGTCTCACATGACATGTGGGGCCGCTCGATCAGATACACGATCAATA